GGCTGAATTGCACAAAACGCATGATCGCACCGGCTAGTCTGGTGCGCGTTGCTATTTATTTATTTCGAGACCTACAAAAGCTGTAGCGCTGGAACTCTGAGAACTTAATTTACATGCACGTACGAGCCTCCGCTCCCGAAATGGGCCTTTCTACCCATGTGGTTCCCGTGTATGGGCTCGTCAAGTTTTTTGGCAGGTAAGCTGCCAACTCGGAAACCAGAAAAGCTAGAAGGCTGAAATTTCAAGGGAATATTCCCCGCCCACGTAGGTCCTAATGAGTTCAAACCCAGCTTCTGGGTCCCGTGTACGGGCCCATGAGATTTTTTTGCGGGTTAGTTGCTAACTTGGGAACCTGAAAAGCTAGAAGGTTGCAATTTTAAAGGGATGTTTCCTGCTCACTTAGATTCTAATGAGTTCAAACCTAGCCCGGGGTATGCATGGTTCCTATGTGCGAGCCTGTCAAAGTTTTTGAGAGGTAAGTTACTAGTTTGAGAGCCAGAAGAGCTAGAAAGCTGAAATTTTGAGGGGATGTTTTCTGAAAGTCTTGGTGGTCGGTCTTAATTCTCTAAACTAAAAGCATTTGCCGAAAAAACGGTACCATTAGCGACAAAAATCTGCGGGAAAATATACGAAAAACGCATCTTCGCACCAGTAGTCGGTGCCTGGCCAATTCTTGAGAACTGGATGCGGGATTCTGAGAAGTAACAATTGTCTTTGTTGAGGAACTGAGGATGCCAGCTTAGCAATTTAATAACAGTGATCCGATTTACATTCACTGTCGCATGCTTCCAGACGTGCGTGAAGTAATGGTACAATTCGCAGACATTGTTGTCGGTAATGTAGCTGCAGCGAGTGCCTGTGATGGTCTCAGTATTAATGATTCTGCTATATTAACACTGGAGCAGTGCGAAAGATTCCGCAGGTTTGCTTTTTTTTTCCAGTGGTTAAAATTTCTTCGAAACTGATTAAATTATTTTTTTGGCGCACTCAAAATTTTTTGGAATTTTCATTTTTTTTAATAATTGCATCAGATGCAACAGCGGTTCTGCAGTTCAGGTTCTTTTACTGTGAAAATCAATCTTTTTTCAATTTGTGGATCGGTGTGATGTGTTGTAGACTCCTCTTCGCTTCTCAGTTGGACTGCCGCCTTTATTATAACTTTTGCACGTTGCTGCTGCCAGCTAAACAAATAGGTGCGTTTCGTTTGTGTGAAATGCAGTAAAAATTGTGGGTTTAGAATTATTCATGGCTATATCTGTTCGTGCATCAAAATTTCTTACGCTGTAGCGATCGAAAAGGTTCAGTTGCTTTTGGAAACTGTGGAGCGCATTTTTATCTTTTATGATTATTATTTTAAGGAATTTGGTTGAGCAACAGACTGTACTGCAAGCAGACTGCTTGCGAATGGAGGATGCACTGCGATTACAGTATGAAAAAGAACTGAATGGGGGTTTGTGATTTTTTTTGCGGTTTTTGCATCTGTGCAATGCAAAAACGCATATTTTCGAGCACTTGTCTGTTTGTATATGAGTGTGTATCTGTGTGTGCGTCTGTAACGAGTTTTCATCTCGAGATCCACAAAAGCTACAAGGCTGAAACTTTGGTAAATTAATCTGCACATAAGTGCGGGCCCTTATGCTCAGAATGGACACTTAGGTCCGCGTGGTTCTCACATACGAGCTCGTGAAAGTTCTTTTGGCGGGAAGGCGTTTTCGGGGACGGCGCAGGCTAGGAGGTTAAAACTTCACAGAGATGTTCGTTTGCCGCGTCTAATTCGAGGACTTCAAATTCAGCCTTCACTCACCCTTAGTTCTCACATACGCACACGCCAAAGTCCGATCTGGCACCATGCCAACTCCAGATTTGAGCAGACCAACAAGCTGTAAAGGACTATAATTTTGCAGCTTTACTTGCTGTCCACTGATATGCCCGTGGAAAGTAAAATGAACTTTCCAGCCCGTTTGCATCCCACGTACCGACGCGTGAAATTTCACGCTGACAGCTTTATAACTTCGGTACTGAAGCAGCCAGAGGACTAGAACTTTCCGAGCATGAACGACGTTGGTCTTTGACCAAATAGACGCGAAAACGATTTACACATCACTTTCACGTCTCACTTGCACGCACATGAAAGTTGGCGTAACTCCGTAACCAGAGCAGCTGGAATGCAGAAACTTTCTAAGCTTTGCCCAGGACCGTGTCTGAGCAATCGCACGCAAAGGCAACATTCACGTTGTCACCCACGTACGAACATGTGGAGTTTGACGTAACCCCACAACCGAAGCATCTAGAATGATGAATTTTTTGGGCTTGGTTTGGGAGGTCATTGTAGTAATTTTTAACGGTCGTGATGGCTACTCTAAATTCTCTTAGCTAGAGACATCTGCCGAAAAAGACAGTGCCATTAGCAACGAGAACCTGCGGGGAAACTGTACAAAAAACGCGTCTTCGCACCGTCAGCCGGTGCGCTTTCGAATAAGTTATGTGTTTGCATAAATCTAGAATAAATTTGGGAAATTGTCTCTGTGCATATGTATTTGTATGCATGTATTTCTGGTTGACTGAACAGCAGAAGCTAGGAGTCCTCGTCAAAAATGTACCCAAAAATATAACCAGAATTAAGGGCGTGAGCCTAAAAATAACTTATCGGATATGCACTTCTGCTTACTCACCACTGTTGGCCCTTTTACAGGCCACCCCCAGTCGTACGACCGGAGGCCCTTCTACGTCTAAGAAAACCAAGACGGCCCAGATTCCATGCTGGTGCTGTTAATAGGTGCTCCTATACGCCCTTTGCAAATATGTCAGAGACTTCGATCCGCGTAACTCCAGCTAGTGCCCATCTTATGTTTGATACAGGCGTGGCACTGTTTTGGAGTTTGTTCGTTTGGTGTGCTTTCTCACTGATGCTGCTTTGTGAATGCGTAGCATCCGTCAGTTGACAACTGGGCGAACAACATTCCCTGTTCATCCAGTTGTACTTTCCAGCGCGATATCACTGACATCTTACGTGCTGCTTATCTCTTCAGAGTCTTATTGCAAGTATAATTACAAAAAGTCTCTCCACGCGTGCTTCGACCCATCTCTTCTTTTTCATACCAGCACTCACTATCCTGATTTTGTTGTTGAGCGTTTTTTCCACAATTATACCATGTGTCTTCTGGTTTGACACGCTCAAAACGCCAACAGTGCTGTCAAATTTATTTAGTATTTCAATCATATGGAAAGAACGTCGTTGATGCTGCAGGTATGTTGGAAAATAAAACACCAGATACGGCTAAAGTGTTTTATTACAAAGGACGGTAAGGTGTCGATAAAGTGAGCACATCTTGCTGTTTTGCAAGCGATTGAGTGAAAGTGCTGTTGCATTCGCTTCCGAGAAACTGTAAGGATAGCAGTAATGGCATCAACTTCTTTGATGCGAGTAGTGCTATTAGTAGTACCGAGTGTAAATTGATGATCTTGGTCCCGACAGCCATTTTTACTACTAGCTGCAGCAGTGTTTTTTGGGAACTGTTGCAGTAGGATTCGGCTATTTAAAAAAAAAAAATGTTATTTCTTTACTGTACTATAAATGTTGGGGTTGTTTTTTAGATAATAAATCAAACAGGAAACGATACCGAAAGGAGGGCATATGATAACTGTGATGCTTAAAGCTTGGAAAATACTGAAGAGTCAGGATTTATGGAGCTTGTTTGAAAATTTGGCTTCTTAAATTTGTATCGGGCATATATGTTGTTTTGCAATTTCTGGAAAAACTGCTTTCACTAAAAGCGCTGTATTTCAATTAACTGTTTTTCACAGTAGCGCGTATGATAGAGACATGCCAAGAATACAGAGCTCCTTGTGTTATATTTCGACTTAAAAAACGTATTAGGTTCGAAATCTTTTTGAAGTCAACATATAAAACAAGTTGTGGTACTCTCTTTGAAGGTAATTCGAATCTTCCAGCTGGAGCATGATATAATTCACGATCTTCAGTTCAGAATTTTAGTGTGAAATATCAACTGTGAATCAAACGTAGATCGAATTAAAATATTACTGAATGCTGCCTGACGCCGAGCTTTCCTGAATGCTGTCCAAACTTCAGCCACAAATGACACCGATTTCAAGAGTGAATTACAAACTGAAACCCGTCGGCTGACGGTTTAGTCATCAAATTAGGGTCAAAAATAAGAATAAAACATATTTTTACCATTTTTGACGAGAATTACCTAGAAAATGGAGGAAGACATTTCTTTCATGCTTGGATCGAGTTGGAAAAATCATTGCTAAATCTCAGTGATTTCCTTTTGGAAACTGTTCTTTGTAATAAAAGAGAAAGCAGAAAAGTTTTATGCGTTTTTGCAAAAACGCACGTTGTGACGACCCATGTGTGCGTGTGTGTGGTGTGTGTGTGTGTGTGTGTGTATGTATGTGTGTATATGTGTGCGTCTGCCCAGATGTTTCAACTTGCCAAGCGAGCAAGCTCCGTCCTCAAAGTTTTTACCAGTGGGTTTCTCAGCCAGTTGCCACCTCAGAACCGCGGTGCCAACCTTCAAGCACGTCTGGGCGTGGGTACGAGCACGTGAAAGCTTCGGCGGGACAGTCGCTAACTCGGAGACCAGAAAAATTACGAGGCTGAAATATTGAAGGGGCGTTCTTCGCCCACGTTGAACTAAAAGATTTTCAAAAACACGCATACCTCCAGGTGTGCGTGTTTTTTATATACAGGCCCGTGAATTTTTTTGCTAATTCAGGAACCAGAAAAGCTGGAAAGCTGAAATCCTAAAAGAACGTTCCCTGTCGAAGTACTACGTAGTTACACAGTTAATTTCTTGAACTTCGAAGGCCGGTTTGTCACAAATTCTAGCTACTGGGTTTCCAAGCATTGTTGCTACAGTACGAAATACTACAAAAACGCATGATCACGCGGGCGTCCCTGGTGCGCGTCACCAGTGACTTGCATCTGCGCAATGCGAAAACTCATACCTTGTGCCGATTTTTCATCTCGAGACCTACGAAACCTACAAGGCTGAAACTTTCAGAGTTTGGTTTACATGCATGTCCCTCTCTCCCCAAAATGGACGTTCATTTTCACTTGGTTCCCACGCACGGACTAGTGAAAGTTTTTGACGGGTAAATTGCTAACTCGGGAAGCCGAGAAGCTAGAATGCTGAAATTTTGAGGGGATGTTTTCTGACAGTTTTGGTGCCCAGTCTCAATTTTTTTAACTAGAAGCATCTGTTGGAAAAAAACAGTGCGGTTAACGACAAAAACCAGCAGCTACTGTAACTCGGCTCGATTCGGCCGCTATACGATTTGCCATCTGACTCGCGGATGTAGTGGTGGGGGGACGGGTTGGTTGGGCGAATTGAGTGAGAACGTGACGTGGCCACGTAGGGGAGAAGGGTATTGGTCAGAAAGGAGGATCCGTGTTGCTGGTTTTTGCTGCGGATAC